TTTTTGTCAGAAATCCGCTGTTAGTCATAAAATTTATGTTAAGTATTCGTTACATATTACATTACGGTATATTATATTCAGGTCTTTTTAAATTTATGTCCAATATCTAATAAATACAAAAAGCAATAGAAAAATCAATCGAATAAAAACCAACTAAAATAATAAAAATAATGAGTAAATCAATATTGTGAATACATGCACATTAACGATATTTATATTTGAAGTATACAATATTTTTTAGAACTATTTCAAGTCATGATGAGTGATGAGTATTTAAAAAATACATATTTAATTATTTATGATTTATAATTAATAAATATATACATGATTTTTAATTCAAAAGCTTTATTTTTGATATTCCACAAACTATCAAATTCAATTATAATAGATTTACTACGTTTTTATAGCTCATCATAGCTTATACTTAAATCAACAAAGAAATAACAAGCTATAATGAAAATATTTTTGTGATTTTTCTTGTGAAATTAAATTTATTTCTTAAAACTATTATTTATTCATTATCTAGTATTATTTTCATAATGGCGTGCAAGAAAAATTCTTGAAAGAGATACAATACATAGGTAAATACTTAATAATAAATCCAATTGCTACTGTGGGCTGAAAGCTGGATAAGATAAATATACAAGTAACTAAATTTGTAATTTGTGCTGCTTTGATGAAAATATTCATTTTAGGTTACAATATACATATTACAAAATAAACAATATCATTGTCTTTGTTGGATGATTGATTACCACAGATTTCACTTCATTTTGATCGTTATGGTGTTAAATTAGGTACACGCCTAGAGTATATAGTTTAAGTTTTGTTATTTTTTTAATTAATTTTTTTTTTCATCGAATTTCCAAATAATTATAATATACTACCTATATACTATACATTAATATCACTAAAATATTCGTTTATATTTGAACTGTTAGTCAAACTTCCTGCGGATAACCAATGCAAATTCAAGAATATTTATTTTACAGTTTTTAAAAATATAAACACGAAAAATTTTTCTTATAATCACATACATTATAATTTTATAAGCTTAACATTTTCATTTGATAATAGCCATTTGGATTTTTATTTATTTAAAATTATAATTATTAATTAGATATGAAATGAACGTAACAATAATAAATGTAAATTTTAATTATTACATATGAATAAACTGTGATATTTAAATATTCAAATTACACTTTTCTAGTATATTTAATAAATAAACGTTTATTATGTGTATTCTAATCGATTTAGTAATACTTAAAAGGTATAGTTTTTTTTTTTTTTTTTTTTTTTATTGTGTATAACGTAATTTAAATATATCTAATTAATTAAAAAAATTACCTAGTATTATTTATGTATTATTGTGCTAATATACTTTAGTAAATATTATATAGTGTACGTAAAATGTGTTCTGAAAAATGTACATTTATATGTAATATTCGAAAGAGTAAAATCGCGTGACTTAAAACCATTGAAACTTTTGTAAAATTATCTAATCAAGACCAGAGTGCAATTGGAATGTAATAAAAAGGAACCAACGTATTATTGTGAAAAAAATTATTATGAACATCGAAAATCATGTGTATAAAATAAAATAACTTATATTTTTTCAGCAATGTCAAAACCTAAAAAGTATTACTTAAAATAAATAAATTTCCTATAGATATTTAATTTATTACATTTTTATGTTGTGTCCTAATACGAGAATATGTACTATTTAATATTCTAACTTTGAATAGAACTATGAATAGTTCTCGAAGTTTTAGTTACATTCAACTATACCAAAATCCTAATATGTTATTTTTTTAACTTGTAAGAACTTTAATCCGAATAACATAGCCTTATTAGAAAAAAAAAAAAAAAAATCGGTGAAAAAAACAATGTATTTTTAATTATTGATCGTTTATATAATTTCTAGAAATATATGTTCGGTTTTTACGTAAATTAATTCACTTTGAAATTTTAAACATACTCTATAAAGCTAACTGGTATGGACTTTTCTTTGAATTTGCATATTTTTTGGTGAAGTTGGTGAATGTGTGAAGATAGTCTGTGTTTACTCTACCTTCTTTCAAACTATAAAATTAAAATAAATAAATACTAAACTTGTTTTATTTAACACATAGATGTACACACAATAATAATATTTTATAATATAAATATAAATATATCATAATATAATATAATATAATATTTTATAGGTAATTCGTGAAAAAATTCATTAAAATTAATTCGTATCAGTTTTTTACTTCTAAAGAATATTAAAAATTTTTTCGGTATCGGCTGTAATCAAAAACATAAAATGTCCCGTAGAGATTTATGTATATATTTTAAATGTACAGTAAATATATGTATTTATAAAAAAAAATAGGTGTATAATAAATTTAGTATACATAATATTATATAAGTATGTATTTATTTTTTGTAATCAGTGCAATGAGTAGGATGCAACAATGGACGAATTAATAAATAAATACGTATTTAGGTTCTGGAGTATCAGTGGTTGCAGTATTATTATACTCGTGAGTGTGCAAGGAATTAGGCATAAATAATTTTAATACAATTTTACGTAGGTAAACTGGAATCTCATTTTAATACCAAAAGTGTCAATGTGAATACAATTAAACTTATAGTAAATGTTGGTTCATCATGTTTAGATTAAAAGAAAAATATTTTATTCCATTTACATTTATATGCATTACCAAAAATTTTAAATCTCACTGATGATTCTAGGTACAGTTCAATTAATAAAAATAAATTGTAATTCCATGTGTACAATCAACGCATAATAATTGTTGGAAGAAATATCAAATTGTTCGTATACATGACGATAGCAAAAACTATAACGAACGATAACTTTTTTAGACTACTTATTTTTATCAAAAAATATTAATACATTAATAATATTTATCGAAGACAATAAATATATTTATTATTAAAGCAAATCTAATAATTTAATTAATTTTAACGTATTACGTATGAATTTAATGAGTTTAAATATTTTTATACTCTTTATTTAAATCTAACCTGAATTTTATTTGCTGATGCTATCTGTTTACATCGTTTATACAATTTATTCTTAATCATTTCTAACTATATATTAATTGTTCTCATAACTGATTTTGAACGCTTAATCAAGTTTTAGTGCGATGAATGTGATATCTATAATAATTACGTAGATCACATACGTGTGGATATTCAAATCGAAATTATTAAACACATTTTAGAATCTCAGAATTGAGCTGTATTCTATGCAGTTGAGTATGATTTCGAATACATAACGTTACACTAAATGTATGGATTAAATATTCTACGTAAATAGTTGTTAGTCAAATTAAAAGCCTTTATAATGGAAAAGTTTTTAAACAAATAATACTATACCAGAGAATACTTTGAAGGCCTTCAGTGTATTCGAGTGTAGCATAAAAAATAAATAAAACTGACCTAACTCAACAGAAACATCGCTTGCATGACAATATATAAATAACATGTTTCGAATTTTTTTTTAAACGTTTCTAAGTTTATTTTTTAACGTTAATATACAATGGAAAATGTATTATATATATATACACACACACTATTTAACGAAAATATTACTTTGGTATTCATTTTATTAAAACAAAATAAAGATTCTTTACTGATATAATAAAGTCTTCTAAAAAACATTTTGACATTATAATACTGAAATAATAGAATACAGTGAAGATATAATAAATTAGGTACTTGGAAACTTCATAATTTTGAAAAAAATAAAACAAATTTAAACTTCTCTCGATAGCATAGATTAAACTTATTTTCTAGTAGACTACTACTAAATTTCATAATCTGTGAAATAATAATTGCATTAATATGCGTATTGAGTAAATTTGAATGAAAATGATTTAATTAAATTTCACAATAAATTATTCGTATTATAGATCATCGAAAAAGTAAAACATTACGCATTCCGATATCATAGAACCTAATTAATAATTATTTTAAAATAAGTCATGACGATATAAATTAAATGCATATGTACTTACTGATCATTTTTCCTTATTTTATAGCGAAATAAATTACTGATCAAGATATATTTCTATAAAATTTGAATTACAGCGGAAAAATATTATGAAATATTCACTAGCCAAACTCTTCTCAACCGGTTTATATCACTAACTAACAGAAAACAGGATAATCTGCTTTTTTTTTTAACAATTCAAAATAAACATACAGTCGATAAAATTTTATATTATATTTTTTTATCAATTTTGGGGCAAAGTTTCATCAAGTTTTCCCTCTGTTATAACTGGATACCTTTTATTTATATACATAAAAGACCGCCGATAGACCCAATCATTTATCAAACATTTACTTTCTTTGACATTTTCGCGTTCAAATGTGAAGCGATATGTTAATCAACGGTAAAAAGGAAATGGCTATAGTTATGAGTAAATATTAACTATTAACAATGCCAGCGGAACGATTGTCGCATCGCACACATAAGTTAGGTGTATTCTAACGACCCATGGTTATTGAATACTATCATAGACGTATTAAAAAAATAAAAATAAAAATAAAATATCGCTTGGACAGTAAATAATTACGAAAATCATTCTTAGCGGACCATTTAACCATTTTAATATAATAGATCTTCAGTTGTCGTACAGGAGGAACCTACACAAAGTACATTTATCTATATATAAAAATATTGTACAGGTAAAAATCGATTTTGAAAAATAATTCCATTCAGCCCACAGTGAAGAAAAAAAAAAAAGAAAAAAAAATGTAATAAATTGTAATAAATACCTTCATTATAGTGTTCGAGGTAAATGGTTTTGTGCAAGAAAAAAAATTATAAAACAATATATAAGAACAAACACTCGGCGCGCGCACACACAAATTCACATACACACAAGAAAACAAAAATTGACGTACAGAAAAAGAATAAAAAACAAAAGAAACAAAGTACAAAAAAATTAATAAATATATATATTATATGTAGAGGTACGTACTGCAGAGTGGGTTGCGTCTATGATATTATATACGAATTGTTATTTTATCATGTACACGCGTACCGAGTACGAGAGAGATACGCGACCGTTTTATATTGCGATAGGACGTGTTCGCGATTACGAGGGAAAACGGTGGAATCGAAGTAACGGCAAAACAGAGAGAAAGAGAGCGATAGAAAAATCTCGAAACGAATTCGCGACGACCGTTTCTGTTTCGGATCGGACTTTTCTCCGTCCGTATCTGTAACCTAACGAAACGTCGCGTGGTCCGCGCGGCACGGCGAGTTTAACGCGTGCATGTGCGCGCAATATTGTTACTGTTATGTCGGGCTTGGAAATAAATCGCGAGACGTGTTGTTGAACTGACGAAATCCGCGAGTTGCCGGTGAGACGAGAGGAGAGAAAAAAAAAAATAAACAGAAATAAAATAAATTATCCGGTGCGCGCGAAACGTGCGACGGGAGTGCGATGAAATTCAGGATCGGACATGTGACACGGACCAACGCACGGAGGACTGAAGTGAAAATTGTTGCGCGCGGCGGACGCGGCGGCTGCGGCGGTGACGGCGGCGATACAATTCCGGTGCGAAAAAAAATCGCCCCTCCCCGCTCCCACCACGGACGGCGACCGTCACGACCACCATCGCCGCGGCCCGTCGTCACCGTGCGGATACCGATGTCGAGAGCGGGGCGACGGCGGCGGTGGTGACAAAATGCGGGTGATGGCGACGGGTAGGGGACGGTAACGGCGGCGGCCGCAGGTATATACCGTAACGATATTTTTTTTATATACGCGCGCGTATCGCACGTACACATGTTCGTAAATTAAGATACTGTGTACCGTGTAATACCGTGGTCGTGTAGAACATATGGTGTATGCAAATACGGTGTGTCTTAACCCGTTCGCGCGCCGAGCGGACACCGCCGAGCATAGAAAATTATTGTTGGCGCTGACCGTTACCGTCGAATATGATTCTATGCGACGCACGCGAAACGCGCGTTGTTTCCTATGCTCGCTGTCCGGTACGGGAGACAAAGGAGAGGATGGTGCGAGCCGTGCGGCATCGACAACAACGTGACCGCGGTATTTGCATGTTTCCTGCAGGTATCCCGCTGAAACTACCCACCTCTGGCAGCGTCTGGATGCGGTGTCGACGGATGCGGTGGCTTCGGCGAAGTCGTCGGCGTCGATCCGTAGACGCCGAAGACGGATAATAATTATTATCGTCGTCGTTTCCTGGACGTTTGTTAACATGCGGTTGCTGATGGCGGCGGCAAGTGTGGACAGTGTGCGAGCGTGAAAGGGTGGTTAAGAAAGTATCTTCTTCCTCTTTCTTAACCAAAGGGGAGATCGAGAGTGAGAGCGATGGAGGGTTGAGATAGAGTGAGAGCGAAAGAAGAAAGAGATAGAGTGAGAAAGAGTATGTGTGAGAGAGAGAGGGGTTAGAGAGAGAGGAGTCGGAGAGAGCGAGAGAGATTGGTCGGTGCCGGTTCACGCGCTGTACCACGGGGACGGCGAATGAGACACGACCCGAACGTAAGACGTGTTGCCATGCGGAACGTTGACGGGACACTATTACGTGTAGTAGTAGTACTATTATGTACGCGCGCGTGTGATGTCTGCCGTCCGTCCCGCCGGCGGTTGAGACGTCACGTCTTCGCGCCGAGAGAACGTTGATGCCGCCGAAGCCGAACACTGACGTCACCGTTGCGGGGGGACATCCGATCGATCGGACCCGGTTGTACGTCACCGGTACTGCCGCTCCGGCTTTCTAACGGCCCGATGGCACGTCACCGTTTTCCTACCCTATTCCAGCCCCAATACTTTCCCTTTGTGCGGAGGGGCGGTTATTATGTGTGCGTATGTCTACGTAAAAAACATTTACATACGCACACATACACACACACCTTTACACCCCCTCCCGTGGTTCCTGTGTGTCTTATCACGTTGAGTGGGGTAGGTTTTATTTTCCGTCCACCCGTGGCCGAGGGATGTGCGAGCGTATCTAATATAATAATATAATATAATATATAATATAACATAAAATATCTGCTGACCGTACCGGATATCGGTTGGAAAACGATAACGACGGGGACGGTCGCGTTCGAGTGAAGGTGTGTACGGATTACTAATGGTGAAACTCGTATATCATACCGTACTATATGACACCAATGTTGTCGAATGCCCAAATTTTAGTAAATATTATTGTTTAACAATAATTTTTTACAAAACATCATAGACTCATAAACTTATGGACGAAAAAGATACGAAGACCAGCCTTATTTTTTTTTTTTCTTTACTGCAACGTTAATGGGATCATTGGTGTTATATGGATACACAATTCTACGTTTTATGTAGTTCCTACAAGGATGCAGCCACTAATCGTTGTTATAATTGTTTGTATTTAATTTGATAGAACTATATTTTCATCAATATAAAACTGTTAGTTTTAAAAGACTTTTTCATTAGGACGGTTTTCTAGTGTTGAAAACGTATTTTTACTAAGTTGAATAGTAACAATTACAGAGAGGAGGTCATCATCCACGTAAGTGTTATTAATTCAACACTAGTATGGCTTATCCGTGTACTCTATAATCAACCATAAAACTGATTCTGTCAAGTTTTAGCAGGAAAATGCGTGAAATTCGAGAATCACATGGCAATGCTTAGTTAGACAAACTTATCAATAAACACTCATCCAGTTATTTAATATAATATATTATCTTGCAAACACATCACTACCACCATTCGAGCCGTGCGGTACTGAAATTGTATTTTACATCACGATATGTTATTATTAATAACTTATTAATATACATATGTACACAGTTCTTCTTTTTGAATTTTACACGCATATCTATTAATTAACGTATATTGTACTAATGATGAGATATCGATACAATTCGAATTTTAGAATCTTTTGAGTATTTGATTATTATTTTAGCAACAATATCATACTGATTATTGATCTTAGAAATTCGAATTTTTTCCTAACTCTCAGAATTGAGCTATTTTATGCGATTTGACTGTTAATATGTAATGTACATTATCCTCAAGTGACGGCGGCCGAATGACTTATTGGAATGTGACGAACGAATGTACCTGAGTTATGTGAAGTTTTTAAGAGAAAAAATACCGACTGTACAAGAAAACTTACTATTTCGAAGTTCTAAGAGACAAAATAATTACGTGTTATAAGTAATAAGTATTTTTTTCTCTCCGAATAATCGGAATATATGACTTAAATTTCAAATAATTTGGAAAATACTGATATTTTCACTTTGTAAATTAAAAATAGTTACGATCGAAAAGTTTTAATCGTAAATTAAGCTACATATAACTCGTTGTAATAGTTAAAACGGTTTTAATTACAGTAAATCACAATATTTTAATTTTAATTTTGATGTCAATTACATGATTTATATTTAATACAATATCCTACCATTTGAGTATAGGTATATCCCATGTTGGTCTACTTAAATTTATTTCAAATTATATAAACTTCTTAAATATTTCTTTAAACCTAATTAAAACTTCTTAAAACCTAATTATAATGGGCATAACATAGCTGTTGTGGCAAGCCAATCAATCAAGTGGCTTAATATTTTAATGTTACTGAGCAGTTGCCACTAAATCATGATTTGTTAACCATAAAATTTAATAATGATAATTATTTGAACTTATATAAGTAAAAGTGTTGGGAACATGCGCGTTCGGATTATTTTTATCATACCAATAAAAACTTCAAGTTTGGAGGTTTATTTTTGTACGAAAATTATAGGGAAAACCTGATAAGTCCCTTTTTTCTGAATCCTGAATATTGAATGGTTTTTGCATCAGTTGCTTTAATTCACAAAAATAATTTATTTACTGTAATTATCTATTATATTACACCATATTATTAATTATTGGTTTTAATTTTGATTGAATATAATTAATAATGCATTAATTGATTTTTTTCCTATATAATTATTAAAATGAAGTTAAGATTCTTAGTATAAATTATAAGTACGTTTTGATTATAAAAGAAATGAAAAATGTAATACACTCGTACATTCATGCTATAAGTATAGCCTATATAGGTAAGTACTATGTTATACCGATAAATTATATTTTTAAAATAACTTTTACTGACTTATCGCATATTACTGTACTTGTAACTATTTAATTAGTTTGTTTTAAATATTTTGCTTAATTACTAAAAAATTAATTGCTAGTGTATATTTTTATATTGGTATTATAATTTTATTCGACTTGTCAACTTTTTACAAACAGTAACACATACTAAAAATCACTCCGTTTTTTTATTATTTGCTAACCATTATACTAAAATACAATACTATTTTATTCTAGCATAAAGAATTTGAAAGGTTTTTACATATAAAAAATAAGTATTATTTTGTTATGTACTTACAATAAATAAAAAAAAATCATATTATCTTTCAAAATGAGAAATATTTGTGTCAAGTGTTATGTGAATATTTTATGTAATATACATTTTAAAACTCTCTTTTTTTGTAATTTATCAGTTACTAAATTATATATTTTATAGAACTCTACATATCTTATTAGTTACAGTATTAATTTATTTAACGAGTATATTTTGCAACACAATCCGATTATGGGTAAATATTATTTGGTGCACTTGATAAGAGATTAGAACAAAAAGAATTACTGTCCCAAAAATGTTAAATCAATTACCTGCAATATTTATTTATTAAAAATCTGAAAAATATTAAGGGATCTCTGAAGAACTATTGAGATGTAGATATTATTAATCTTTAGAAAGTTTTAATAAAACATGAAGAGTAAATATAATATAAACGATGTCTAATTGTTTTAATTTTGTTTTATCAGGGTCATATCTACTGTTAGTTTTTTCACGTGTAAACTTTCCTGAAAACTGATAATATCTTATCCACATGATTCCGAAGTCACGGAATTTTTATTTTAGTCGGTCATGATAATATAATAAAAAATTTGTAAATCAATTTGACCAGTAAAATTTATCAGTACCTATAGGTATAATTTATAAGACGTTATGAATTTTCATTTAAACAGTTAAGATTAAGTCATGCGCGTACATACTACGTTGTTTGATTAGACGACTGTTACCTCGGCGATTGCAATCGCATGACTTTTAATAAAGAAAACCGTAAGGACTACATTAACGCGCGGTATAGGTATAATGTTCGGGATGCGACCGGTGCAAACCTGTCAAGCCACCCATCCATGTTTTTTTTTTTTTTTTACGATTGTGAATATTTTTTGAGATTTTTTCTTTTTCCGAATATCACAAATTTCATGCCAGCCATACCAGAGATATTTTATAACTGTTGAATTTGTAGGACAATATTCTATGGTCAACCGGTTTCATCCGTATCATCTGTATGGCTCTACAAACCACAAATCAGTTGTAATTGTCAAATGTTTAGTTAATCTTGCGTATATACATTTGTATATTGTGTTTGGGTTTTAAGAATATCTAATAAGTACTGCTATATGTGAATATCGATTTTGTAGGACACAC